GCCAGAGTCAGGCCACTGGCGACAGCAGTAACTCCGGCACACTCAAATTTCCCTCCCTGCTCTCTTGTACGACATTCAGTGACTCTGATCTCTCATTGTTGTCTTGGCTGCAAAGTATACCACCAGAAACCTTTGCCTGTCCTTTTGAACAAAAGACGCTAAATGTTGATGTTGAACGATTAGAAAAGCCGTCTCTGGAAGCATCGTGGACTGAACATCTTCTTGTGACGCCAATTAAACCAAGAACTTTTCCACACTCTGCAATGCCGTACAATAGGCCAAGAGCACGGGATATTATGTCACGCTCTCTAAACCCGAATCTCGATGGTCTCCCATTTGGTTTAGGTTCAAATAGAAATTCTATGGCACTTTCTACAGGTGATATCAATATGATGTCAAAGAGTATTGCAAGCTTCCACCTTACAGGAAAGAAGACCATGAATACATCCGTTGATCGGCTTTTTGACACGGAAAATGTTTTCACAAGTAGTTCGTATGGGGATCTGCCCACAATCATAGAAAAGGTTGGACTTCCCAAGCCACCTCCAAGGAGAGCACGCTCAAGAAGTCCTGACAAGAGACAGTCCACAGATTCGCTCAACAAACCAGCTTTTTCGGACAAAGTTGAAAAGGATATTCGGGAAGAGAAACCGGGTACGCCACCGGCGCTGCCGCCAAAGTCTTCGCCGACACCACCCCAGATTCCCCCACCAAACCATACCCCTCCAAACCTCCCAGCCCCGTACCAGCAGCAACCACAGCATTACCCTCACCCGAAGCAAAACGTCCCTCTACCCCCAGTACCAGACGGCAAGCCTTCCCACCCCCCACCCCAGCCTCCACAGCAGAACCAGATGCCTCAGCAGCCTCCACAGCCTCCCTTCGACAGCAACTGCAATGCCAACAATGATCGTGAGACGGGTGAACTCTTCAGCATATATCAGCGGAGACAGCAGATGATGGGTCAGCAACAGCAGCAGATGTATGACCAGTACAGCAACAACAATCAGATGATGATGAACATGGGAACGCTACATCCGCCCAACATGAATATGAATCGGTTAGTTTTTTTTAATTATTTTTATTTGTAGTATCCTTATCATTATATTTATCATAACCAGTCATCATCTTCGCCCTCCTCATCGGCATAATCATTACCATCATCATCATCATTTTCACCTTATCATCACCATTTTCATCATTATCATCAGTACATATGTTTTTTTTTTCATCTGTTCGTTTTGTTTTCTGTTTTTCCTTTCTTCATGTTGTGCACAAATGTAGCATGCAGTCTCAGTGATATTCATATACTGAAGAAATTTTATAGTTCTCATGTATATTATTCAGCAAATTAGAACATTCAGGAAAAATAGGCTTAGAGTATGCCAATGAGATCTTGATTTTCTGTAATTCATTTTATTTTTTCTTCTTCTTCTCTTTCTCTTCTCTGTTTTTTTGTCAGATGAATTTATGATTTTGTTAAGATAGTTTTTGAAAATTGGTAAATGGCTAATGTGCTATGGTAAGAAGTGGCTGAATGCTTGGTATGTTTTTTGTTAATATTTTTATAAGGAATTTTACATGTTTTTGCATTTGTGGCCTTTGTTTGGTTTTCTTTGCCAAAGAAAAACACATTTTCCAAAAGTAAAATTTCTACAATTAGCATTTTATACAATTAGACTGTGATAAAGCATTTTGATTCTGTTGTAGATTTACCATTGTAAAACATACTGTAGTTTTCTTGATGGAAAATTTGTTACTGTAGACCTATATGGATGTGATCAACACCAATGTGAATTGTAACCCTAGAAATATTTACTTTTTGTGTTAGTTACTTTGATTTACTTACAGAAAATGGGATTTTTGTCTTTCAAAATTTTATCTGGGGTAACATTGAATAGAAAGTACTGGATGTGTGATGTTTTCCTGTGATTAGAAATGTATCTGTATTTTTCCTGAAACCTAATGAGCGCAGAAAATCAAGTTTTAGGTGTGAGGATAAGACATTTTGTTTTGCTGTTGAATATTACATATGTAAAATGCAGGGCCATAGTAATTTTTCCAGAAAAAAACAACAACATTCCAAGTCCAAAGACAGAATGAAACGTTAAATTAACTTGCTTGCTTGATATATTCAGAGAGTAAATGAAATAATAATTAGGCTGGTAATTAGTGTTTGTAGTATTTTAGGATGACTTTTGCCTGAGACACAAATGAAGACAGGCACGGAGTCCAGAAATGCATTAGAAAATGTTTGTCTTACATGATTAATAGCCTAACATGGCTGATTAGTACTTCTGTATATAACAGATAGTTGAGATATCTGATTATTTTCCATAATTGTATATTCTTTACAAGATAGAGTTTCTTAACCTGTTTTTGTGTGAAACCCAGATCTAGTTTCAGTTCACCTAAAAACCAGTTTGTTATTTCTTTAAGCTGTAAGATCGTTCTGCCTTAAATAACAGAGAAATGAAATTCATTAAAAGTATGAGATCGT